AGGAAGCCGCGACCGCCGCGCCTCAGGGCTGCAATCGATAGCCGTGTGTGAGACGAGGGCTGTCTCCTTCGCTCTCCGAGGCTGAAGCCCAAGGAGCGTCGCGGAGAGCAGCGAGAGGGACAGAGACGGAGCAGCCAAGCCGCCGCACCGTGCGTGCGCTCTTCATCGGGTAGTCGAGTCGGTAGCAGCTGTGGGACCGCGGGCTGGAAGGGGTTCCACCTTTGTGGCTTACTGGGGCGCCCCGCCAGCCGGGGTTCTTGATTTACTCCCAAAATTTGGAGCCAATTTCAAGCCAATTTCTGTCCGTCTGTCTCTCTACTGCATCATGCATCAATCAAAACCTCAAGAAACAATCACGCCGGCATGCATTTTTGTGACAAAAATTACTCATTGCCTGGCCTCTATTGTACATAAAATCCCCCCGACAAATCATTTTAAAAACTAAAAAATCTCTAGTCTTTCTCTCTCTCTCCCTTTCTCTCCCCCCCCCCCCTCTCTCCTCTCTCCCCTCTCTCTCTCCTCTCCGCAGAGACGTGGGCGGGCGAGGTGTGTAGCGTTGTTGATGCTCCCGAGGGGGTCCACCGGACAGTCAGTCGGCGGCACTCAACGCTCCGCGTCGCTCGCGTCGCTCTGGGGGCCGCGATTTTCCGGGACGGTGAACTGAATGATTGTTTGTTCATGATTCAGCATGAAAAGTCCCTTTTCCGAGCCTCCCAATCGATATACGGGCCCAAACGGGATGCGGGGCGGGCGGGTTTTTTTAGATCCCTCGTGTTCCGGCCGGGCGTGCGGGGCGTGTGTGTGTGTGTGTGTGCGTGTGTTGTGTCTTTGCGTTGTATGTGTGTGAGAGAGAGTGAGAGTGCGTGTGTCTGGGAGAGCATGTGTGTGGTGGCCAGCGGCGGCGGCGTCTCCCCGAAGATGAATACCAAACCCATCATGCCTGGTTTCTGTGTCGCTTTAGTGACTGACCCACACAAACACCATCAACACACCCCAAACAGACACACAAAACCCCCAAAAACCAACACACCCCCGCGATATAGGCGGTGGGGAATCAATATCACCCACGCCCTTGACAGCAATGCCTGTGTGGACCCCCGAGCAGCTTGCGTGCCTCTACGTGCGCGCATGCGTGGTTTTGGGTTTTTAAGTGTGTGTGTGTGTGTGGTGTTTGGTCGCTGTGTGTGGACACAATGGATCTAAAGCACGTGCCCGGTGGCCCGGCCGGCCTGGGCTAGCGAGTGCATCCATTCGACACAGCGGCCGCGCACAGCGCGCAGCGCACCGCCCCGGGGGGCGAGTCCAGCAGACTGATTCCGAGAGTCGTTTTCGTCGCTCCGTCTCTGCCGCACCTACACGGGACGCCCCATGAGTGCGAGAGGGACAGAGCGACGAAAACGGCTCTCGGAATCAGTCTGCCGCGGAGGGCCTCGGCCCCGACCTCGGCGTCCGGCTAGCAGCCAGGGCTGTGGCTGCGCCTTGCCAGGGCCGGACAATGCCGGGCAGTGCGGCGCGCGGCAGCGAGTCTCTTTACTCGCGCTTTCCGCGGTCCCGCTTTTTAAACAAGGACGCGCCGCCGCCGGCAGCACCGGTCCACAACATCGCGGCCGTCACGTCGCGTCGCCGCGTCCTTGTTCGGGAGCAGCCGCACATCGCACCTCTGCGTTTGGGCCTTATCCGTGGTGGCCCGTGACGCTCCTCGAACCGCAGAAATCGACACGGAGAGGTGTCTTTTGCACAGAAAAGTCACCGCGGCGTCCTGTTCTCAGAAGTAGAAGTTCAGGGGTTAGAGATGGTTGGATAAATTTCATTCCCTGTCGTTTTCTGTATAGAGAATCGTGACGGATTCGGCCATGTTGGTTAGGTTAGCATGCTTGCCGCCTGCTGGCCGGGCCGGGCTGGGCCGAGGCTGCCGGGACGGGACGTGTTGGCGAGTCCAGGGCGCCACCAGCGACGCGCGGCGACCGCCCCCCTGGGCCAGGCTGGGCCGGGCTGGGCCAGGCAAACTTTGATCGCCGAAGCGGACATGCCAACATCGCTCCGACCTCCACCTCCCCTTCGTCCCTCGGCATCGCCCACGCCTTGCCCACGCCCCACGCGCTGCGCTCCACGCCGCCAGAGCGCCAGTGTGGCCATATTAGCGCGCGAAATATGACGGGGATGCAGCAGTGTCGCGAGGATTGCGAGCCCCAGCCTGCCTTTCCAGAGGAACAAACACCAGGGATTCGTGGGCGCATCTTGTATGGCGCCAGAAGACTCAAGACGCGTTTTGAACTCCAGAGTCGCTAAACAGGACTCGAACCGAACGTCTGACCCCACCAATGGATTCCTCGTTCGGAGAGCAATCCGTTGGTAGGGTCACATGTTCGGTTCGAGTCCGCTAAATTTAGCTAGTCTGGAGCTCAAAACGCGTCTGGAGTTTTGGCCGCCTCCACCGGTCTTCTGGCCCACTGTGCGAGAATCCCAACCCTCTGAACCGCGTCGTCTTGGTGTTTTCCAGGCTGCTGCTGCTGGTGGCCGCGGCGCGCTGCCAGTCGCCGTCCTTCGAGTACTCGTTCCCGCGCACCCGCACCCCTCTGGAGACGAGGCTGAACCCGACCTGGAGGGCCTCCAACGAGTTCGTGCAGCGCCTGCTCGGCGGCCAGGGCAGCGACCCCCACGCCGCCAGCGTGCTGCGTGTCCGAAAGGTGACCCGCCGTCTGTCTCACTGAACCTCATTTCTTTTCCTTCACCCTTTTCCCGCCTTTTTCTCGGATCCCACGTTTCGCTTCTCGTTTTCTCCTGTACTTGTCGTCTCTGTTTCTCCTGTACTTTTGTCGTCTTGTACTTGTCGTCTCTTTTTGACCGTTACTTGCCGTCTTTCACTTGCCGTCTTGTACTTGCCGTCTCTGTCCTTTACTTGTCGTCTTGTACTTGTCGTCTCTGTCCTTTACTTGTTGTTTTGTACTAGTCGTCGTGTACTTGTGTTGTACTTGTCGTCTCTCTCCTGTACTTGCCGTCTTGTACTTGCCGTCTCTGTCCTTTACTTGTCGTCTTGTACTTGTCGTCTCTGTCCTTTACTTGTCGTCTTGTACTTGTCGTCTCTGTCCTCCTTGTCGTCTTGTACTTGTCGTCTCTCTCCTGTACTTGTCGTCTTGTACTTGCCGTCTCTGTCCTTTACTTGTCTTGTACTTGTCGTCTCTGTCCTTTACTTGTCGTCTTGTACTAGTCGTCTTTGTTTGTCCTTTACTTGTCGTCTCTCACTGAGAAAACCTTAAAAACTATTTTAAGACTTACAAAGGAAAGCAGCTTGATATAACAAGGTTTTTGAGCTACAGCTAACAAAGAAACATACTTAACGCATAAAACGCCCTTTAGGGCTAAAACTCTTTCGCCCTTGCAAGGGCATAATCGTATTAGCCTTTGGGAAGGGCGTATGGTCAAAATTCACATTTTTTTTTGCCCTTGGGCGTAAAGTTTCGCAAAGGGCATAAGCCTTGTTTCACCGTGGTGACAACTTCGGAACAAGAAAAGTCAACCAAGATGTGTGTTCCGCCGAGGTGGTTCGCTGATTGGTGGGCAGCGCCTTGGTCGCGCCGCATAGGCAACTCTTCCCGCAGCAGCGCCGCTTGGGTTGCCTGCAGCCCAGGCGCACGCCGCGCTCGAGTGCGTTTTCACAGGAGCACGCAAAACCTCCCTTTGGCGCTCCAGAGTCGAAAGGGTGGCGAACCAGTAAGCCTGGACATTGCCTACGCAGGCAGAGGTCGGCAACTCTCACGACACTGGACGCAAAAAATGTTCGCCTTCCGCCGCTCCAGCGTGGGGTCACTGCACTGTGCTGGCCCAGCCGCCAGGCGCAACAAGTTCGCGACGCGCGTTTCGCGCCATTTTCCGGAAGGCTTCCCGCGCAAATTACGCGCCGCTAACAAGCGCGCCCTGCTTGTGCCTGAGCAGAACCTGCAGGCGGTGGGCGAGCCGCGCTTCCCCTGCAACGTGTCCGCGGCCCTGGTGCGCTCCGACACACCGCCCACCTCGGTGCACCGGCTGCGGCCCGGCGACGTGGACCTGGTGGCCGCCATGGGGGACTCGCTGACGGCCGGCAACGGCGCCATGGCCCTCAACGTGCTGCAGGTGGCCAACGAGAACCGGGGCATGTCCTGGTCCGGCGGTGAGACCCTGCACACTCTTACAGTGGGCCAGAAGACCGGTGGAGGCGGACAAAACTCTAGACGGTTTTTGAGTTCCAGGGTTGCTAAATGGGACTCGAACCGAACGTCACCCCATCAACGTATTCCTCAATGAACGAAGAACCCATTGGTGGCGTCACACGTTCGATTCGAGGCCCCCTTAGCGACTCTGGAGCTCAAAACGAGTCGAGTTTTGACCGCCTCCGTCGGTCTTTTGGTCCACAGTGCCCCGTGTCGCATTATCGTGTTTGCTTGTCAAAAAGTGCATCCTGTTGACGTCGCTGGCTCTTGCAGGAGGCCAGGGCACGTGGCGCGAGTACCTGACGCTGCCCAACATTCTGAAGGAGTTCAACCCGAACCTGTACGGGTACGCCCTCAAGGACTCCAGGGCCTTCCACCGCGCCTCCAAGTTCAACGTCGCCGAGATCAACTCCATGACCCAGGACCTGCCGTGGCAGGCCGGCAACCTGGTCAAGAGGATGCGCTCCGACCCCAGAGTCAATCTGCAGCAGGACTGGAAGGTAAAAGCTAAACACAAAATTAACATTCTAAAATGTTCAAGGAGGAACAGCTTTCCACATTCACTGCACAAAATTTAACACACTCCACCCACATTTGGGTGGCAAAAACGATTGGCAACATGTGTGGCGAAGACGCCATAATAAGTCTTGCACTCGTACAACCACTGTACACACAGTTCTACAGTTTGTCACCCTTTGGAAATGTTCTTGGATTTGTAAAGTTTGCCTGTTCGACGCTCAGGTGATCACGATGCTCGTCGGCTCCAACGACTTCTGCTCGGACATGTGCTACCGGCGCAGCCCCGAGTCCCTGCCCGACCAGCACCGGCAGGACCTCAAGGAAGCCCTGCGCATCCTCAAGAAGCACCTGCCGCGCACCCTGGTGAACCTGGTGACGCAGCCCGACCTGAGCCGCATCCTGCCCGCCATGAAGAACACCACGCCGTTCTGCGAGCTGCTGCGCCGCGTGGCCTGCTCCTGCCTGTACGGCGAGCCCACCAGGCCGATGCGCGGACGCATGCAGGCCATCATCGAGCGCTACATCCAGGTGGAGCTGGAGATTGTACGTCATTTTGCAAAATCGACTTGGTGAACCCTTTGTGTGTCACGTTCTGTCACTAAACTCACTACTTTGTCTTGCGCAGGGCGAGGACCCCGAGTTCCAGACGGACGACTTCGCCGTCGTGGTGCAGCCCTTCACCCACAAGCTGCATTTTCCCCTCAAGACGGAAAACGCCACAGACTTCACATACATGGCGCCCGACTGCTTCCACTTCAGCCAGCGCGGCTACGCCAGAGGTAAGAGGGCACCTGAGTTGCACTCGCCTGTACAGTGGGCCAGAAGACCGGCAAAGGCGGCAAAAACTCTAGACGCGTTTTGAGCTTCAGAATGGCTAAATGGGACTCGAGTCACACGCGTGACCGCACCCATGGATTTCTCGTTGGGAGAGCAATCCATTTGTGCGGTCACACGTTTAGATAAGTCCCATCGGGCGACTCTGGAGCTCAAAACGCGTCTGCAGTTTTGGCCACTGCCGCTGGTCTCTGGCCAACTGCGCACCTGCGGATTGCACATTTGATGGACAATCCTTCAACTTGAAACAGACGATAAAGGAATCCCATCAATGCAAAACCCTTGGAGAAGATTGAAAACCAGCTTCATCGATTATTCTTTCCCATTCGCAGCGGCCAACGCGCTGTGGAACAACATGATGGAGCCCGTGGGCGAGAAGTCGATGGACTGGTTCAACTCGTTCCAGAGGTTCCTGTGCCCGTCCGAGCAGCACCCCTACATCTACACCAAAGGCAACAGCGCCGCCGGCAAGGACCACCAGCGGTCCACCGGCAACGCCATCACCTCCAGCGAGGCCGCCAAGGCCTGAGAACACCGTGGGGCGCGTGGCAGTAGCGACAGTGGGGGCCTTTCTACCTCGAAAAACATTGGGAGGTCTTTAACACTGCGATAGAGTGGGGGACTTTTACTACTTTGAAAAAGTGTGGGGCCTTTATCAGTGTGATGTCTTTACTACTTTGAAACGGTGTGGGTCCTTTACTACTTTGAAACAGTGTGGGACCTTTACTACTTTGAAACAGTGTGGGACCTTTACTACTTTGAAACGGTGTGGGTCCTTTACTACTTTGACACGGTGTGGGTCCTTTACTACTTTGAAACGGTGTGGGTCCTTTACTACTTTGAAACAGTATGGGAACTTTACTACTTTGAAATAGGGAGGGAACCTTCACTACTTTGAAACAGAGTGGGGTCTTTTACTTTGAAACAGAGGGGACGCCTTACTACTTCGAATGATTGGGAACCTTTACTACGTGCTTCGAAAATGAGGGGCCTTTACTATTTCGAAATAACAATGGAAGGGCCTTCACCTCCCAAAAGTGGGTGGCCTACTTCCAGCCAATGAGAACGTGCCAATGTGTCAACCCCGACAGTATTACCAGGACTCTCGTAGAGTAGACCTATTTTCAGGCTATTCCGTGCCACTCGCGTTGGCACAATGTGATATAGAGCCGCGGCCATGTTAGCGTAATGTGTGAAAGACTGAACTCGGTGAGCGGCGCTCACTATGTAGTAGTGTAAGCTTGCATGCTGTACAGAGAAAAGCTTTGTATTGAATCGAAAAAAAAAACGACAGAAAATGAAAGAAAAGACTGAAGGTGTGTGTGAGAGAAGGAAAGCATGTGTCTTATTTCCGCCCCATCCATCAATCCCCATTCAACCTTGTTCGCGATCCCGCTATCATCATCAACCCAGGACGAGGATGGTCCTGCCGCTACGCCACGCCACGCCGTGCCGCGTTGGCTCGCGATTTGTCCTGGGAGCGCACGCCTCAGTTGGCGGTACTAATTGAATCCGAGGTGCTCTCGTTAGGGCGGAGGCTGCGGCCACCAGGCACGGCGCGGTGCGCCTGCCTCCGAAGGGGAAAGACATCGTATTTCGGGGAAGCGCAAACGAACTCGGTGGCGTTCCGATTCCGGGAAGCAGCGAATACCGGGAATCGGGTAGACGGCGGAGGAAGTTTGCTGCGGACGGGGATGGGGGCGACCGCGGTATTTTCGAACTAACTACCCTTGTGGCTCCACGACCTTGAGAGTGTCGGGAAAGGCGCAGAGCAAAATGATAGTTTGAATCCTAATCATCTCATCTAGGTTTCGTTTATTCGTTTTCAAGAGCAAGGGGACATGCTTACAAAGAGTTTATCTCAGGCGCACTGAGGCGATGAAAATATCACAAAAACACTAGTACGAAGAGGTGAAAGGGTGCCATCACCACTTTCAGTAACACAAATAAACATTTACATCCTACAGTAGGGGTACATTTCGAGAGCGTTGGGTTGGTTTGCAGTCCCTAGCGGGAACATTCTTGCATACTCTTATTTCAAAACTGACACTCTCACGTACGCACTAATACAATGCAAACATTAGCTTTGGACAGAAGGGTACACATTAAACTTCGAAATCTACTTAAGATTATTGTTTCTGTGGCATCGGTATGCCTTTGATCCAACCATCCTAGACTAGTTCTCGAACGCTTTGGAACTGACGCTGTTCGGTTCGCGTTTCAAAGTCGCTCCCGCTTTGAACAGTTCGACGCGGCACTCCAGCAGATGGCGCGGCCGGGCCGAAGGGCGGCGGGCCGCTGCTCCGTCATCCAGGCGAGTGCTCGCTGCGTCGCGGATCTGGAACAAACGGAGACAAACGGCACCATGAAAACGACGAGCGATGCCACTTTTTGTTTCGCCTCTCCGCGTTAGCGCTCAGGCGACTGGCGGAGGAATCTGAAATCTGGAATGCCACGGCAGAGCCAGGTCAATTCACACTGTATGCCCTCTCCGCTTCCCTCCCCCCTCCCTCCGCGCCTCCCATGGCGTCCCAACGAAACTCCAATATCCGCGATGGCGTGTTGCGGAGGCGACCTTTGGCGTGCATTCCCGGCCCGTTCCTGCTTTCCATACCCCGGCCGGCCGGCTGCCCCTTGCTTTCGCTTCACCGGGGGATACGTCCAGATTCTGACACGCCCGCGTGGGCGAACAGGATCCCCGAGAGTCTCAAGTCTCCCGACGACGACGGCAGCGCGAAAAAGGAATACTCTAAAAGTACTAAAAATATAGGTGCAATTAATTTTTTCGCTTGTTTCGGCACGATCCGGCCGCTGTGAAGCAAGAGAGAGAAAAAAGAAACGAAAAACTGGCACGTCGCATAATAATAAGGCAAAAATACGGGCAGGTTGAATGCGACGACGACACGGCCATTTTCGTTTGTCTTCCGCCCGGCTGGGGCGCCTTGCGCCTTTCGGCCCGGAGGCGGCGGGGCGGGCCGGCGGGCCCGGGGAACCGGAGCCCAGATTATTCCGAAACAAATGAAATTGAATGAGCGCAGCCTCGCAGCGGCGCGGCCTCTTGCCGGGGCGGTGACGTGGACGGCCGGACTTGGCGCCGGGCATTTGCAGCGATTATGAAACGCGCCGCCCTCTTCCGAAAACTCGTCCTACTAGACTACGCAACGTTCCGTAGGACAAAGGACGTGTCACTGCACTGTTAAAAAAGCCGTACATTTCAAGGAATAACAGGAAAAGTAGCGATATACATCGGCAACTTTGGCCCGTCCCGTACATTAACAAATGTGTGAATTTCTCCTTTGTTTAACCCTGACGGGTTTGAACCTGAGTCTGGGGTCAAAATAGATGTTATTTTCGTCATCAGCGCCCTAAAAAAAATAAGAAACAATGCAAAAACTCGAATAAAAAGAAAGTTTAAAATACCCCACTGGGATTTAAACCCCGGGGTCCGAACTTCTCCGATTCGTTCGAAAGTGGCACCATTGGTTTTTTCTCGTCGCACCGGTTCCAAAAATCCCCTACATGCCATGCTAGCTGCATCCGTTGCCGAGATCCTCCTCGACCCCATGTAAACCATGATGCACCTGCAGCAGCGCCCCCGGGCTCGGATCGGATTGCTGCCACCGGGCGGTTCTTAGGGTCACCCAAAGGGGGCTGCATACCAAATTTGGTCAAGATCGGACCACGGGAAGTCCTCGGACGAACGAACGAACGGACGAACGAACGGACGAACGAACGGACGCACAGCATGCATCATACTATATGCCCGTCCCTCCGTCAATTTTTTTACAAAAAAAAACGGGACGGGCCAAAAAGGTACGGCTAGACCGTACCCCACGGTGTACAGAACAACTGTACCCAAAACCCATGCTTCCCATTAGAACCCTTGTTATGAAAAACCGTACTCCGTACTCCAAAAGCCGTACTGGCTGAGGTACGGTGGTACCAGGCAAATTGTCTACCAGACTGTGCCTGTACCTTTTCCCGTGGATTTTTTTCTACAGTGTGTTAGGGTGGCCTGTGGCACCTGCAGACTGATTCCGAGAGTCGTTTTCGTCGCTCTGTCGGGTGGACACCGCTGGTTCTGAAGTTGAAGCCTGCGAGAGCGCCTGCGGACGGCGGGGTAGGCAACCCGGTGGACACGCGTGCACAACGGGACGGCCCGCCGCCACGGCGCTCCGCCAGCCCATTACCATTAAGGGCTAGACCACACATGATCGTGTGCCATTTCGGGCCCGACACATGCCCGGCTGCACTGCAAAACGAGACATGGCCCGGCAGCCTGCAGACCGAGAGTCGTTTACGTCGCTCTGTCTCTCTCGCACTCATCGGGCGTCGCGAACAGGTGTGAGAGAGACAGAGCGACGAAAACGACTCTCGGAACCAGTCTACTTGCCGAGCGATTCCGCCGCCCGGACCTCGCTCCGTCTCTCTCGCACTCATGCAGTGTGCCGTGGGTGCGAGAGAGACGGAGTGAGGGGGCGGAACCACTTGACAGACCATGCGGATGGGTGCGCAGACTAGCTGACCGCACTCTAAATGTTGTACAGTGAAGATTCTCCATATTATGGTGAAAATGTTCCATATTATGGTGGTGCAGCTGACTTCGTAACATACCACTGAGAATTCACTGTACCTTATAATATTTTGACGAATTTGTTGGTATTATGGAGAAAATCTCCACCATAATATGTTGGTGCAGCCTTTCACGGTAAGACATTTACAGTGCGCTCTTTAATTTTCATTCTCCGGCAGCTCCAGCCAGCCGCACTCCAAAAGAAAAGGAAAGAAAGCGGCTATAAAAGTTTCGTGTGTTACGCGCGCGGCGCAGGGAAGAACGGAAACGCTTCGCATCTCATTTGGCATCGCCTTTCTTTCGGCTTGGCGGGTGGGTCGACTGTGAGCCGATTCTGAGAATCGTTTTCGTCACTCAGTCTCTCTCATGGGGCGTTCCGTTTAGGTGTGAGAGGGGCAGAGCGACGAATACGAGTATCGGAATCAGACCGGTGGCCACTACTGCGAGAAAAAACTACAGAGAATCCTGTTAATTTTTTTACAGCGTCGCTCTGTACCCAAACTAAAAGTGATCTCTGTCTTTTAAAAAACGGAGCTCACTGTTGTTTTTTTGTGTTCATTTTCTGTTGTCCGAGCGGCCAATGCCACATCGGGACGGCACGGCCAAAGCCTCATAGGTCACCGTTGGGGCCCCAAGGACGTCGACGGGCACCTCACCGGGTCCCGATGACGATGCGAGCAT